GGGGCGGGGTTATTGGAGCTCACGAAGGCTATCGCGCCGGGCCCCACAATGATACCCGCAAACAGTCAGATTGGAAGTAAAGCAGAACCGTCCTACTTCCGGCCGATCGCCGGGGCAGTTAGGACACTTTATGCGCGCGCCGGGCACACGACGAACAAAACCGCAACACACACACAAAAATGAGGGACGTTTATTTTGTTGTTTTTTTGCACTTGTTTTTGTTTTACGTTTGTCCTACAGATATGACATTCATTATTTTTGTTTAAAGGGCGCCCGATGGCTCGAACGTCTTCTCCCCGGCCTCTCCCAACAACTCGAGCAGGAAAATAAATAATAATAAATTTGCATATCTGCGCGGTGAGCGTACGGAGGGTCCGCACAGGTTCCAGTCCCTTCTTTAACGGCTCAATATTTTATCGGCGCGTGGAGGCGCTCTCTAAAACGCGAGCCCCACACGGGCTAAGCCATCGCAGCCACAGTAGAGCCTTGAAATATGGAAGAAATTAATAATATCCAAAGTACTGGCGCGAGAAAATGCAACGATCTACCGCGGGGGCAGAAGGAGATTTTAAAATGCAAAAGTTTTCCGGGAGGTTTCAGAATTTTTCAAGCAAACATTAAAAGAACAAGTGAAACTTCAATCCTTTTATAAATCATGAACACTATCCCACAGATAAATGTTTTGAAAATAAATAAATTTATATCTTAATTCATTTTTTGGTCCTTTTCTTACGCTGCTGGACGTACAGCGGCACCCTTCATTCGTATTTCCCGCGCGCGCGAGCGGTACACTTGTAAAAGCCCGCGGACGAGACTCGTAAATCTCGCATCGGCGGGCGGGTGAAATCGCGCGCGCAGCAGTATAGGGGCGGGCGGCTGCTCTTCGCGGGCCAAGAGCGCGCGCGCGCACCCCCCGAACACGCATGAGTCCGGCCAGATATTCACACCAAATAACTCGAGCGGTCGGGGCAGGTCGGCTCCTCCAAGGGCCGGGGCGGGGACCTGCTCGCAATATATCAGCAGGCGCCCCCCACCCCCCAATCCCTCCAAATCGGTCCTCCTCCTCCAGTTCAGAGCAGCGCGCGGACGATGTGCGACGCCCCGCAGTCACAGCAATGCAAATTACGAACAACAAACAGCGTGAGCAGCGGGACAAGTGTCGCGGGCCCGCCGGGCTCGTCATCGTCAACGTGTGTGTGTG